AGCATGGCGGTTGCTCGCGGAAAAAAAAGGTATGCCTATAAGTATACCGGTTTTTTAATCTCACCTATATAAGAGACTCTCTTGCGAATACTCGATACAATCTTTTCAGCAACAAGTGGTCGATTGTTTCCTTTGCCTCGCGCACTCGGGGGCTTCCGTCGACTCGGACGTTTTCGAATTCCCAGAAGGTTGCCGAAGGACTCGAAGCCGCTCACGGTGTTCCGGCGTGGAGAATTATTGCGCCGACATTAGGATAACAGAATAGAGTAACGGATCGAGATTTAAGCTTTTGACATCACAAATCTCGCAAATATTTGTTTTATTATATTGTTTTGTATTATTAAGTATTTCATTCAGAATCGTTCGCATTTAGTAGAATGCAGGATTATTCGATTGGTTTCAATCGTGGGAGCCCCTTTCGAAAGTATTAACTTTAGACCTCGGACACAATCATTATTCACACCCCTGCCTAATGTATCGCTGTTGCGGTGATGTATTCGAGATGAGCGACGGGACGGAGAGAAAATACGGGCGTCGACGTGGTCTGTAACCGTAACCATTAGGGTACCGTGAGTTCGTCGCGCTCGACGGCGACATTGCGCCCTGCACGTGTCCGGTCGATGCGGGACGCACGTGTCACGTGTGCCTGAGGAAGCTCCATTCGGACTTGCGAGCGGACTGGGATCAAGCGACGACGAGGACGACGACGATGACAAGGGGGACGACGACGGAAGGACGTCGTCCTGGATAGAAGCAGGAAGGGTGGCGACAAGTGCTTACACAACAAGTGCGTATCCCGCGCGCGACAAAGTGCAACAAAAGTATGGAATGCACGGCCGTGTGAACCTTGCAACGAGTCGGAAAAGGCGATGTCATCGAACTGAGTTTTCAAGAGGGCTAAGCGTTCACTCGGGTGACACATTTCTCCCCTTTTAGAATAGCACGAAGGCCTTTCCTTCGTCGCGTGGGCTATTAAATCGTGGACAATATATTGTATAATCTGATAGCAAGTTTAGTACGTGATATCTTGCGTTACTCGGAATATTACAAGATTAATTATAAAATGCGATTGTAAATTAATTGAGATTTTGAAAAATATACGAGGGAAAAATATATTATAATTTTCTATAACATTTTATAATGTTATAACTAATAAACACAAGTTATATTTTCCATAATTTTAATAACGTATTCTGTAGATGAGAAAATTACCGCGTCGTTAGAATAAAATTAACGACGTAATCATATTTATATACAGAGCGTGCGTTCGGAATATAATAGAATATAATTAACGAGCGCGCGAGTAATATTCATTAATACGAAATTAATGGGCGCCCTAAGAAAACAAGATATGTAGTAGCGCAACACTATAATTATCTCGTCATTATATGCAAATAGTTTTTAGCGCCGCATATCAGCCGCCAAATATTATTTCCCACGATCGTGATTGGCAGTCCCCCTGCGATTACACGGGTAGTCAGCAACATAAAAATGGTGTCCGAACAATCGTCGCCATGCATCGAGCGCATTCAGGCGTTGGAATTTAAGTCGTAACACGCGACTTACATCAATTACACGATGGTGAGGAAGAACGGGGGAGGAAGACTTATGCCATCTAACTCTCTGCCACGAATTGAAATTCCTTCAAAGCCTCTCGGATACGATGCTTCGCAAATCGTTCATGCCCGCGTCTACCGCGCCTCGTATCGACGCTCCTCTCGTCCGACACGAACGTGCCGGGCAAGCCACATGCTCTGGTCGCTTTGATTCTCTCGTCCCGGTCTACGTTTTTTCTCCGCGACTACCGTAGAATGCCCGGCAGAACGGGGCAATTCGGAAGCGGGACGCGCGACGCCCGTTATCGGCGTCGAATCGGCCGAGTTCTCTCACGAAGCGCGTACGTGCTCGCGTCTTCGGGATTTCGCTCGCGTTCGCTCCACCTCGGAATTCACGATTTTTCGGTGTGAACGCGGGTGCTCGAGCGTTCGGGCCACCGAACATGTGATGGAATGTCGCGTGCGCGGGAGTCACCAGGGCCCGGGTTCAAGCTACGTTGATCTATGACTATGTCAGACCCGTGGAAGAAGATAGAAAGAAGCGAGAAAGGAACACAGGTAGCAGCGAGCGTAAACGTCGGATGAATACGAAAATCGATGGTCGATCAACCTGTGTTTCCTATGCGCGAGTAATAAGACCAGATATTCCCACACGGGCCCCAAGCTGGGGCCGCCCTTCCTCCCTCCCTCCCACCCGTCGTGGGAAACTCATACGTGAGTCGAACGATGTTCACGCATAATCACGTCCCGCGAAATCAGCTTTCGAGACGAAGCCTTGAAGCTTTCGCGACGCAGGTGCGGTTCGATTAGCAGCCTATATTTCGATGCGCATCGATATTTTTCAATGCCGCAGCTGGGACGCGCCGTGCGCGCATTTGTCACGTTGCTGGACACGACGCGAGGGATGGTCCCCCGCCGTATTTTAATTGGACCGATCGCTTATTTTAATCCTTTTCGCGTGAAGACGCCATCGCGTTTTCGTGTCTCGTTTTAACAAGGTACCAGTCACAATCGCCGAGTGTGCGATCGTGTCACTAACATAGCCAGAGGCAGAAAATGCTCTCAATATAAAATTAGCGTGATTTTGTTTTCATCGGCTTTTTATCCACAAGTCGCTCCTATATCTTTTCTTGCGGAAGCATCTATTCTGAACGTTTGCAAAGTATTCAATAATATTTAATTAATTTATTATACAGTCTTTGATCTCTCATTGCCAGCTTTGCTGGCAGCGTTAGTATTATCGTAACAGAATGACACGAAGTCGTTTTTTTACATCTAGCTTATGTGTAATATACTGTCAACGTAACGTTTGTCAACTTATAAAATAAAAAGATGTAGCAGTCGAAATTCTATTATAAGAGTCTAGATAATATTAATTAAAATACATTTTGGAATAATTAAAAAATTCAAAGAGATTACATTTTCTAGAACGATCAAATTCTCTGAGGATGCTCTGATTTTACTATGATTTATTATGATTACTATGGTGCTCTAATTTTACTAATAGCGGTATGATATGCAACATATACGACAGTTATTGTCATCGTGCATGACGAATTATAATAGATGGTCGTGTCTCAGGGATTCACGCGTGCACATGCACATGACGGCGGAAGGAAAGAAAGATGTGCAGGAAGGGCGACCTGTATCGGAGGTGAATCTGAGCTCTGATCGGGGCGGCGAAGGTGCAGGTGCCTCTAGAAACCGGCGACGAACGAACGGTAGGGACGGGGACACGGGAGGGGGGCGTAAAGGAAGCGGAGGCAAACGGGCCGGGGCCCTGCACGCGCCTCTGACGCGCCGATGCCACCGATATCTTCTTCTTAAACTTTCCTATCCGCTCATTCATGCCCAACTAAATGCCTATAATTTCGGATATGATTACAGGGCACCGTAACCAACGCCCCGGCGTGGACTCATGATGCCCCGCCGAGACAGAGCGAGAGAGAAAGAGAAAGACAGGGAAAGAGCTCGTTATGCAAGGGGGCCCGACGAAATTGAAACGGAACGAGCCGGGGTCCCTCGGTTCGTCGATCGTTTGAGGACGATTCTTTCCCTGCGTCTCGACCCTTCGCACACAGGTAAGGTATATATAATAACATATAAATCCCCCTCGTCCCCCCCTCCCAATTCCGGACCTATCGGACCGATGACAGGTGGTCCCGCGTGATTATTACTAATTTGCTGTAGACTTAAGCAAACAGAGAAATCGCCACGACTATCCAGGTGCTTTCTACCTCGGTGCAGCCTACTGGAATGTTGCCGAGCTCGCGGTTCGATCTTCTTCGGCTTCTCGTGAGAGCCCCGACAATTCGGTCTCTTAATTGTGACCTGATATACGGGGTGTCCGGAATACAGTCTCTACAGAATTTAAGAGTAATATCTCTCACGTTCGTCTAATAGGATTAAAAAAATGTTAAGCGCGTGTGATTATGTAAAGAGATTCATAAATACTAAACGAGTTTTCGTTTCTAAATTATATGCATTATCTTTTATTCCTGAAAGATAAAAAAGTGTTGACGGAATACGGGCTTGTAGCAACGTGCCCGCGTCATTAAATCATTAAACCATCGCAGCAGAATTGCCATGGTGGTCGTCGGAAAATTGAAGGATAAAGATTTTTTATTGAAGTAAATCAAAATGGCGCCCGATAATAATGATGTATTCTAATTGACGTGCTATAAGGAAGTTGTACGGGGACGATCGCCAAGAGCGACATAATTAAATATACGTTTCTCTCTCGATTCTCGTGTATGATGTACGTGCCGCAATCGTTTTCGCGGAATGAAATCAACGCGCCTCGCCGTATCATTATGATAATGATTCCTACACCGGAATCCCTTACGTAGGTCCGCGTGTTTTATTAGAAAGAAGCTATCTGGCGCAAATGCGCGTAGCTCTCCAGTCGTTCCGGATAAATACGTTCTCCATGGTGTTCACACCAATAAGACAAGTTCGCGCGTAAAATCACATATCTCGACCGTACAAATACCAAAATTGTCGTGTGTTTAAGTGGAGGAGGGTATATAATTATATGTATCATCGCGCACGATACAGCCCGATTTAGCCCAGTTTCTTCACTTTAACTCAACCCCTTATATTACGAATTAATAAACTATATTATTAAATAAAAAAAAATCGAGACAAATGTTTACTCACGGCAACGAAAAAATGCTGCCGATTCGCAAATATAGTGAATAGAATGGTATTCCGATTTTGCTCACCTTGCGATAATTGAAAAATTATATAATGAGTTTAATAATATATAGTTATGTCGCGTTTGACATATATTTTATCTTGTATTTACTATATGTCTCACTCTTCTCGCGTTTTTTGTCTTTGCAAATTCATGCAGTGGACTCGCGTCTTTTCAACCCCGAATTTTTCGCAAAGCACGTTTAAATGTAATTTACTACGAAAGATATACAAAAGGGGAGTACTTACCTCTTGATGCTGGATTAAAAAGTCAGAGGCGGGTGGTGGCGGGGGTGGTTCCGCGGAGACCTCCTGGAGTAGTCCCACGTGATCCCAACAGTCTTCGGACATGTCCATGGTCGAGCCTTCGTCTGTCCCTTCGCCTTCTGTAGGGGTCTTCCCCCGTGGAAAACGGGGTGAGCCGAACTTCCTGTCTTGTCCCCCTGCTTTTATGACACGTCTTCTTAATTCTTCCGCTACACAACCGCGTACGCGCGTAGGGTATGGTCGAGAGGGAGGTACTATTAGGCACAGTCACTTTCAAAAAATCCAGTCACGTATCCCAGTCACAATGATATCGGCGTGACACACCGGGTGGCCGGTGCACCACCGCCGGGAAGAAGAAAGAGAAGAAGAGGAGATCCACGTACGTATGTACTACGTAGCACACCGATTCGCCGACGACGGAGTCGACGTGTCGCGTGACCGCGTTCTCTGACGAACGACAACGAGGCGGCGACGACGACGGCGGCGTCGAGGACACGACGACGGCCGTCGGTGGTGGTCAGTCGGCGTGGAATGAAGTTCGCCCGCGGGTTAGGTTGGGTTAGTCAGCGAGCGGGAGTTGTGCAGCATCAGAGCGCGCGCGGCAAGAGAGACGAGAGAGGGTCGTCGCTGGTGAGAGAGAGGGGGGAGAGGAGAATAGAGGGAGCGGGAGATAGAGAGACAGAGAGCGAGAGAGAGAAAGAGAATGAGTGAACGAGAGGGTGAGAACGACGGCGGGTGGGGTGAGAGAGAGAGAGAAAGAGAAGAAGAGAGAGAGGTGTAAGGCGTAAGTCTGCCCTAGTCGCTCGCTTAACCGTGCAGGAGGTGGCGCCAATATAAACCGTACCCCTCCTCCGAGGCTCCCCCCGACAAAGAGCTTGCGTATAATACCTGTATGCGTCTGTTGGTAGACCATCCCGCCTACCAACTACCGTACTGCGGGATTTGTGATCCGTGCCGCCGGTAATTATTGCGATTTCACTTATATCCCGACCCGCTTAACCCCGCGCTCCTTCCTTCGAGCCCCCTCCGTGCACATCGAGCTGACCGCGGGAATTTGAGAGACGAGATGCCGAAGTGCTGAGATTGAAGAGGATATTGGAATCGCAGCGAAACTATCTTCTTTGATAGCGCCCCTCAACAACCCTGCAACAATATGCATGATTTTTTTATTTCACAAATTTTTCTCACGGACATTACTAAGAAAACTTTTGACTCGTCAGTTTATAATGCTGATATAATAATAATTAAAGCGTGCAGTTTGCGGAACTCGGTGAAGTTTAGATACCGCGTGTTCGATAAGAAGAAGAAAATGTCGCCAATATACAAAAAAAGTATCCTTCCATAAAGTACATAATGACCAGTACGTTGGCTCCCTCGTATCTGCTCCGATCGCGAATATTTTACGTGAATTTACACGGGTGTCTCAGCGACGCGAGTAACGGAGAAAAAAGTGTATCGAGTTACGTTCACGGGGAGGAGGAACGAACGAATATATTCGTACAGGATGTGAGTGCGATGTAATCGAACGAACGAAGGGTTGGAATGCGATATGAACGCGTTAATGCGTCGTTACTGACAGCGACACGATTCGTTCGATGGTACTTTTGAATCCCTCCCTTGCACGTTCGAACATTCCCTTCCATCGATTCACCCCGACGATTGTCCGACCAACTCTTTTTTCTTTTTTTTTTTTACTTCTCGCATTTTAATTCCCCCGTTGCTCCGACGCTGACTGACGCACGCTTAAAACGTTACTAATACTCGACACTTGTCAGTCGTTATCATCGCGTGGTGCAGCTCCATGCAACGGCTTGCCCCGCGTCGGGGCCGATGATTGATGGAGTCGTATATAAACGTTTGTAATTTACCAATCCGGTTTGAAACGTTCCCATATCGATATACTTTACTCGGCGATTGAATCTTAAACGACCGCTGCGCGACAATTATTGGATATATCACCGGGGTTACCGCGGAACGAAGCGCTACCTGAAATCGCATCGTCAGAATTTGCTTTTAATAAACGTCAGTCAATAAATGTCATCGTGGGGTCGTGTTGAAAATTAATTCTATAACGACCGGAGTATCCGCGGCGTACGCGAACAGATTAAAATAAAAAAAAAAAACGATCGAGATAGCAAAATGCGCGGGGTCGAAAAAATTATCACGGCGGTTCTTATGCAAAATTCAGGGTCTCCTGCAGCATCCGCGTACGAGTGACATCGGGTGCTTCGACGTCGCCGTCCAGTCTCCGCAAGGTTGACACACGTCTCCGAGTAATAAGTAATCTGGCTCACGTGCAAACGATTTTTGTCGCGCGCCGAACCGCCAAGGCATAAAACAAGATTGCCATTAGCCGCCATCGGCGAGGTGCACTTTGTACGGACCGCCGGTCTGCGACGATAAACGCGCTGCCGTTGGAGTGTTGGCCGAGTCCTCGACTTTGTGTGCACGCGCTGCCGAGGACGCCGGCGGCGGACGAGGGCATGTCGGCCCCGGCTAGGTATAGGCATACGGTGATAATATGCGTTGCCTATACTGCACTCGCAGGCAGCCTCGATCGCGAATCTTTGAAGTCGCGATGGCTTCCGTCTGCCCGTCGGCAAACGCCGGCGCGAGGCGGGATAGTAAAAATCGTGCGCAAAACTGTGGGAAAGCCAAATATACACATACCGGGGCTCCCCTTGAGAGAATCTTCGCCCGTTTTCTTAGCGTGCGTGCGTGCGTGCGTGCGTACATGCGTACATATACGTGGAGCATGATATATACGGGCGAGCACCTGTGACAACTTCTAATACCTCGGCTGGTAAACGGTAGGCTAGATCGTGCGGTCCGATAACTTCCGCGCGCTCGCTTCCTTCGACCAGCGTGCGAGAGACTCCGCGTTTTTTTTTCTTTTTAGACCCCTTCGATTCATTAGGAGCTACAATTTCACCCGACGAAATATTTTACGTTCCTGATATTATTTGCCTCTTCAGCTGTGTGTCCCATCTGCCCTCAACGCTTCTCGTACGACATACCTAATTAACTGTTTCTCAGTGTCCACTCGGCGATATCTCGTGTGTGTATCAAGCATCGAAATATAAAGTATTCTCGGAAATATACACTTGTTAATAATAAATGTAAATATATATATAATATAAAATGAATCACAGAGTTTTAAAAGCAGCAGTTTGTAAAAAAATTGATTCTATTATATGCGAAACTGTAGTATGAAATTACAGTAACAATAAATGTAAATATATATAATATAAAACGAATCACATTAGAATTTTAAAAGCAGCAGCTTGTAAAAATTTAATTCTATTATATGCGAAATTGTATGAAATTACAGTAATGATTTTTAAATTTTAATATGTGTATAATTGATATGTGAAGAAATATCGACATTTAATCCGATCTAATCGTAAGGAAAGTTCATTAAACGTGTTGGATATTTATTTTCCGATACTTTTGTACGGTATCTCGCAAAGGGATCGATCTAGGGATTGTGCGACGCGATTCTGGTACGTGGAGTAAATGCGGACGCGTATATACAGCCGCGGCGGCGGATGTCTTCCGGACCTCCCAGCGTCCGGTCTAACGAGACCACCGGAGGTACGACGGCTAAAAACCGCGCGCAAAAACCGACTAAAGTACGGTCTTTATACGGTTCGTTTTATATCGCGGTCGATTCGCCGAGCAACGCGCTCCAATTACGGACGAATATATATACGTCGTATATATTGCCCCCGCGACCCTATATCGTCGCGCTTTATACGGCGAGAGGAGATAGAGAAGAACGCGTTGTTGGGTCCAGCACGAATTTACTATTTGCTCGCTAACGTTACTCACATGTGAATAACGACGTATAATTTTTATAATAATTCCTTCTACAGGGCAATTTTAAGGGATTTTCATCGACCGAGAAAACATGAAATTTCCATTGTCCGCTTATTGCGGGCATAGCTCACGAATCTATTTGCATTATATCGACTTAATTCAACAACGTACTTTTATCGTTAATTAAATTATTTCTATAATTGTTTAAATTATACCGTACCTATACACATCAGGCAACGCTCGGCACATCTCGTCGACATTTGTGATGCCGGATCGAGTTCTCGACGGCAAGGCACAACATCTCGCATGTTTCGCACGGAAAACGTTCTGTTTACGTTTACGTTTACCGAGAGACACAAAGTGGCTCGCGGTGATGCGTAAGAAATATGAACAACCACACGTTTTGTATTATTGTCCTCGCACCGACGCGCGCCATACATACGTCACGCGATGCGCGAATGCTTCTTTAAACGCTACAACCACGGCTGCCACCTTTGCACGATTAAGGTCTGTTCACTGCTTGCGCGATTAGGTCTGTTCGCTGCTTGCACTTTTTGCAATCAGAATCTTTGCTTTCTCTTTCAGCCGAATATATATTTATTTCATTTTAAATGCAACCGTTTTTAGAGAAATATCAAGCAACGTGAATTACAAATCAATTTATTTTCCCCGGAAATCGTTTTTACAATAAAAAACTTTTTTTCTAATTTACGCGTTAAGGCAATATTAATATCTTGTTGCTGCATTTTTGAATCTTACCGTTGAAATTGCTTTCATTCTATTGTTCTTTTTGAAAAAAGATATCGAAATTCAAGGCGATCTATCGGAGGCTTTTTTTCCTTCCGCCGGCGCGTCGGTGATTTTTTTCAAAACCGATGAAGTGGCAATCGTGACTGCAGGCGACTGCAGCGCGACTATGTTCCCGCGGGATATACGCGAGCGAGCGGTCTGCAGCACATCGCGTCCCCCCCGCGGTTTGTTCCAAATATAGCCGTAACCGGGAATCGCAATAGATTATATAATTTCGACGAGTTGATCCTTCGTTTCGGCGCAAAACGTTGAACGCGAGCGCATACCTGGCATATACATACGGAATCGCGTCCCACGAACGATATGTAAATATTTCACTTTCGCGTGTGTCCGGCGAGGCGCCGAAATCCACGCTCTGCACGTCGTCGGATTCTCCTGTACCGGTCTCGATCCCCGGCCTCGGCAGAACAACCAGCGTCGCTCGCCGGTTATTCGTCGCGTGAACGCGAATACGGTGGCGACGGGCAGAGAATCAACGCGGCGTAAGCTGGTAAGCTGGATTACTTTATGTCGCAGCTCCTCCTTGGAATCTCGCGGCGGTAGATCATACGGAGTGACCTTCGGCCGGCTCGCGCAGTTTGCGCGCGCCGGCCGGACGCGCGGATAAAGCGCAGCGACAACGCTCTCCGGCCCGGCTCTTACGTAGGTATATGCACGGGCATATAAGCATAAAGCGGAGGAGAACACGGGTAGATGATATCGTAGATGCACCTCGGGACGTCGGCGGGGCGTCGACGCGATCTCCTTTGTCCTCGTTCCCGACCGCTCGTTCCTGTCCGGTCGCGGTCACCTCTTCCCCCGGAGCCCTCCCCCCCCCTTCCGCCTCGACCTTCCCGTTTCGCGGGAATATCTGTCCTACCCGTGCCCATGCAATCTCGTGCATCAATCCCGTCCAGTTTGTAAAATTGTGCGGAGTGATGTGACTCGTGTGCGAGCTACCGCGCCGCCGCGCCAGGGTATGTTTATGTACACGTAGTTCGCGACGAAAGGTTACGCACGTGCGTACGGAGAATACATCGTGCCGCCTCTCTGCGCTCCGCTCGCTGCGATTTTGTTGAACCTGTATGTACGATATATACCTCGTCCGCCTGCATCTGGCAATGAGGCGCGCATTTAAATTCGTGAAACTCGCGTACGGTTTACATTCAACATTTATTTTTCCTCGATAATTATTCTCTTCGTGATTATATATTCTTTGCCTCGCGAGCATTTTGCAACAATACGAAAACCTGCGTACCTATAAATTTAAAATTTGGTGGCGTAATGTAATTATAAATTTCATCTTCTTAACAGAGATATTCGGAAGGGGAAAACAACGATGTTTATGCCGGGGTCGGAGAGAAGGATGTTCGTGCGACTGCTGCGGGCCGCGCTCGATCATTACTCGTCGTTTCATTAGAATATCGCCGATAAAGGGGGTTTAATTACAAAGGTACCGCCTCGCTTCCGTTCCACGGGCACACATACGCGGGCAGGGCTCTCTGCGTGCCGCACGCATATATACCCGCCCTTCTACCGGCTCTCGCTCCCTCCCCCCTCTCTCGGTTTACGTGTATTTCTACACATCGAGGGTGATTAGTAAGGTCGTTTTCTTAATCACGAGGCACTGTTAATAAGAATCGCCGCTATTACAGGCGCGTGATTGTACAGCTAACGAGAGCTCCGGTGGTGTACACAAGGTGCGCCGTAATAGTTTTTAACCCTCCGGAGAGACGGGTGGCGACCGGAAGTGAATACATATTCCTTAATTTTATACCAGCCACATCGCGCACATTATATATGCGCATAATATAACGGGACACATAATAATGTCTACAATGTATATTTGCGTTATTTTGCGTAATGCGGCGTTAAATTAGAATTCACAAAATTTACGATATATGAATTAAGGTTAAATATTTTGGCGATTCTTTCTTAACTTCCTTTTTTTTTTTTGATCAATCTCTACGATCGTACGGTAAGAAAAAAGCGAGAGACGCGAACGCGTCTCTGTTACGGAATATGTGTACACGTCCTTTATACTCTCTCGTGTGAGACAGCTTTAAAAGTACATGGAAAATTATGGTCGATCATAAATTAAGGCAGAATTTATCGCGTCGGTTACTAATTGGTCGTTGAATAAATATAGAGGCGCGTGTTCCGGACGGCGCCCCGCGCCAACGTTGGCAGGGACAGATTACGATTTCGCCTGAACGTCTGTTAAAAAGGTTTCGCATCAAGCGCGCGTGTCGTGCGTTTTGATCCTATCCGATCGTAAAGAGCTTACGGCGGGGAAAGCGTTAAAATGCACTCCCGACGTTGCGACGCCTCCATTAATATGTGTGCCGGGCGCGTTTAAAATACGGTATTTAATCCGGTCGACGGGAGTGCGGGAGTCCCGCCGTTGGAAATCCGCGGAATAACGTGTCGCTAAAAGGCTTTTTGAGAATCGTCTATTCGGGCGCAGGTGAATAATATATCGCGAACGAATGCATTAACATGGATAGATACTTTCACGGCTATTAAATATATATTACGTTTTGTATATTTATCGACGATTTTTGGCGAGTATATCCGTGTCGTTTATCAAACCCGATTAGTGAAGTATGTTCACATCAATTTAAAGCTAAAATAGCAATTTATATACATATATATATAAGCAAAAATTGTTAAGCGTTACGTTATTTACAATTTCTTACTTAATCAATTAGTATTTGCATGTCGTGATTATTCTGCATTTCATTACGCAACATTTACGTGCGCGTAAACATACTTTTATATACGTAAAAGAGCGAATCGAGATTTAAAAAAAATTTCAGCCAGTCGATTCATTCCCGGTGGTAACTACAGCGGCCGCTGTTACCGACAGGCCGGGTCGCATCACAGACGGCCGATGTTCACTACGGAGCACTACGGAGTCAGTTGATCCAAGATGGCGACGCCCAATGAGCTGTCCCTCGAGGAGATTCGCAACTACCTGCTGGAAAACGGGGGCACGGCGCGCAATCACGACCTGGTGAAGCATTTCAAGCGGTTCCTGACGGACCCGGAGACACGAGGTGGGTTGCGTTCACGTCGCCGCGTCGCGCTTCGCGGCTGTCCAGTCGCTATAGGCGTGACCCCGTCGCGTCCGCGTACATATACGTGGTGTAAACACGTAGACAGCGAGCGGCCGAGCCGCCGTGGTGTTCAGCGTGGTGTGCAACGTGCGATTTTGCATTACAGTCGAGGCGAGGAATCGTTTCAAGGAGTACGTCAACATCCTGGCCACCATAAAGAACGAGGAGGTAGGTTAATACGAGTCCCTCCCCCCCCTCCGTCCCGCGACTCCCTTTCCGTCTCCTGACAGGAGCGACTTGTTGCGCGCCCGGCGCGACGTTGCCGGCTCCGCTCGCGATCAGCTGAAGGCGCGCGATCAGCTGAAAAATTCTCTCCGGAGCGGAGTCGTCACGTTGTTTAAAGCCCGTATCAGAGTACGTATTGAAGATTGAAGATTGCGAATTGAGGATTAAAATAGAGGATTAGAGCAGTGTTATTTACCTAGTGAACATTAGGAGCGCTGTCATGCACATGAATGCGTGCTACTCCTCGAAATGAAAATTGTTGGGCGCGTATCCGAATAATGGAGAAACAATTGCAAGAAAAGTTCCTTTGCGTTGAATCTTTTAATATTGATTAATTAACATTTGTAATACTGTGAAGAAAACTTTTTCAGTTTATTTTGCGTTGTCTTGAATATCTCTGCTAAAATTGATTTCACGTATATATCGAAATAATGATATTGAATTTTTTATATATTGTATTTACAATAGATTGATCGATTTAGAATTTGGAGAGAGTATGATTTTTGCAATAAAAAGTGATTATAGAAATTTTGAAATATAAAAAGTTTAATGAAAAAAACACTATTATTTTTCATTTACTAATGCAAGATTTCTATTAATATTGATTAATTTTATTAATAAAAACATTTTATTTTTTTACGACAAAATTCTCAGGAAAGTATGTGAAATAAATTTTTATTTTTAGTTGTCGGAATTTATTTTAATATTTGTCACTTTTCCTGTAATTAATATGACCGAAAATAAAGTTAACGAAACACGGGTTAAAGTCTGCGTCGCTCCTGTCGACTCACCCACGCGGAGTGCTCTCAAAGTGAACGTTCCTTAACAGGGTGAAAAGTACTTGGTCCTCAAGAAGAAATACCGGCAACCCTTCTTAGACCTTTCGTCCCCTAAGCAAGTGGGATCTCCTCTCGCCACCTCCGACTTAACCACTCCGGTTTCTCCTCTACGCGAGCCTCCACCTTACCGGCCGCCACCTCCTGCACCCCTCAGCCCGTCCTCGAGTAGTTCTCATGCGAGTCTTGAAGAAAGTGCGACGCCGATATCCGCGCGCGAAAAAAATGACGATTCGGAGCCCAGCACGTCGATGTCATCGCCCCCTGTTCCACCACGTCGCAAAAGTCAGGACAAGCTCAAGGTGGAGAACAAGGAAAACGTCGATAGAAATCGGAACAGCTCCTCGGAAGCCATCATAAAGGTAGGTTTATGTGCATTTGTGTTTCCTTGAAAAAGCATACGCGACCTACCGTTATCGATGTCGTCATATTTGCGCGATTTATCGTGCAACGTGGAAGCGATGTATCATGCCAACGATAAATGATATTTTTCTGTGAATTCATATACGATATGATAGTTTGACATTGAACAATAAAATATCTGTTAAATATTAGAATATGTATAACTACGACTTTTATACAATAATCATTTACTATTGATAAACTATTAAAAAATTTAAGTGAAAGAATTTATATGACTGCGCAATATTATTACATTACATTTTTTTTTAATTAAATGATTTCTGGTATTTTACTAATAGCATACCGTTATCGAGATTGTCTGTTTATCGTTTATTTATGTCTCTTAGGCCGGTATTCATAGTCGGTTCTTTTAAGATCGCCTTAAGGACAGTCTTAAGATGTCATAAGCCAATCACAGGCTGGTATTTATAGTTTATTCTTGTATTTAAGCATCGTCAGTACAATCTTATGACGTGATAAACCAAGAGCCGTATTAGCATCTTAACACATTACTTAAGACGATCTTGAAATAAGAATGGCCAATGAATACCGGCCACAGAGTCATATTAGCATCTTGAAACATTAAGACAGCCTTAAAATAATAACGGACTATGAATACTAGTCTTAAAGACTTTTATTTTGGTTACCCTTCTAGTCATCTGATTCGTTATTTGTTATTGATCGTGTTTATATGTTAAATCGGAGAATTGAACTGATAACTTATAGGAGGATGAAGCTGTAACGACGACGAATCCCTCTTCGGCTGAACAACTCAGCGTTCGCGAACGGATGCAACGCTTCAATCGAATGGCCAGCGAAACCGATCTTCCTGCCCGGCCTAACGATACGACTGCCCCTACTAGAAAACGAGCGGATAAGGTAAGAGCATCTTTTTTTGTTTTATAATTGTGCGTGTATATAAAGCGTTGCGAATATAGAGAAAGATATCGCGAAAGTAGCAGAAAGATTAAATTTCGGAGAAAAGTGAGAAAGAGAGAGAATATTTGAAAAATTCTATACGTAACGATAACTCTCGTTTGTATATAATTATGGGAAAAAAATACGCGGGCGCGAAAATTTCTTAAAAAAAATAGAACTTAAAAAAATAAATAATCAGAATCTATTGTAGAGATCAATGTGCCTTTTTGTCTATTATCGGCCGTCTGCCCGTCTCTCTTTCGGGGAGATGGCTGTTTGCTACACCTTCGTTTCTTAACGAGAGGTTGAATCATGGCGCTCGTCGTGTTGTGACATCGCCAGGCAGCTTATGTTTTCCAAACACACGCGGGGACACAAAGGGTTCAGGGTCCCGTATTGAATTATCCCGCCGGGGCTTTAAATACTATACGGACGAGCGATTCGGCACGGAACGATCCACGCGCGCGGACGCCTATACATCCTTCGAAGGGCGGGAGGAAGGATGCGGTATGTACAAGGCTGACTGCTCATCTTGCATACCGAGTAGGCTACTAGGAATCCTTTCTCCGTATCCTTCGCACGCGCTCTCGCGACGGTCCTCCCTCTCCCGCGTACTCGGCTCTCTCTTTCGCGATCTCCCGTCTCTCTTTCTCCGTTTACCTTGTCGTTCGTGTGCCGTTTATCGCGGCGAGCAATATTCATCGCATTTGAATATCCTGCGGGCGGTATCTCGCGTAGCGATCAGGATGTTGCGCCGATGTTGCCGTAAATCATAATTAGCCGCGCCTGAAAATTAAAAGTGGAGGAGGAGGGATCCCGAGATATCTCTCGGGAGGAGAGCGGGGAAACAGGCTCCTTTCCGCCGTAGTCAACAAAGTTGGATGGAGCATCGGCAGGATGTGCCGCCCGTCTTGTATGCGGCCGATCCTCCATCATAATTTCGATATATTTATCGGATCTCACGATTAAAGGCGCCGACCGGTTAAGACGCTCCACAAAGGAGAAAAGAAGCGGCCGTTTCACGCTTCCTTCGAACGATTATGACCGGATCGTGCTCTCGGCTCGCCTCTCGCGCGTGGCTACGGCATAATTTGTTTGGTCCTTTTAAAGAAGAATTGAAAATCTTATTTTATTGATTAAAAAAAAAGTTTGAATTAATTGTCTACTGTAATTTCATCGTTTGTTTTTAAGCATGAAATGACATTAAATTTTTTTTTCTATCATATCAGAAATGAAATCATTATAAGAAGCAAATCTTGCATAATGTATTTATAATATTCTGACTTTACAACATCGATTCTTCTTTCGTGAACAGAAATTTGAATAAAATGTTAACGGACACTGAAAGATTTTGACACATTCTCTCTATATGACAATTTCGTTACAAAAGAAAACTGTTTATTGCCGCGTGTATACATTGAATGGCCCGTGATAATTATGTATTACTCAGACGCCACAGCCCGGTCCTGGCGGGCCGCCTTTCATATACCGATTTGACCGGGCCGGCCGTTAATTTTTATTGCTTGTAAGCGTGGAAAGGGTTTTCGGGTCATGCGGGGAGAATCCTCTCTCGCCTCCGGACATCCTGTAATCTCCTGGGAAGCCCGTGACTAGAACCTCGTCGGCCTTTCTTTAAAGTAATTATCATGCAACGTAGCCGCGCGATTCCGCCCTTTGCATCCCTAATGACTGTTTCGTCTAGCGCGGTGTCGCGTGCCGCGCCGGTCCCGCCGGCCAATTGCCGCGTCAACACATTCTACGTAGTTTTTCATCATATTTTCTACGAACGACTCTTCAAATCGCGAGTCATTAAACGCGCGATGGGTTTGTCATGAAAACCCATTCTCATCGTGATGAACCGATTTTAAAAAGGATGTTTAAATAAAAAATTTTTGGAATATAATCAATGTAATATCGATATTTTTTAATTAATTAGAATTTCTTAATTATTTGCAAATTTATTTATTTTATTTTGATTGAATTTCATTTTAATTTGTATAACGAGATTTTGTACCTATATTTGAGCTTTAGTATTTGATAAAAATTTTCTGGAGACATTTAATCTTTGAAACATAATGTATTACATCAATGTAATAACTCGGCTAATGCGGTCGTTTGTAAGCATTATGCTTTTTCAACAGTAAAGTTTCTTTTCTATGTAAATAGAATGGGTGATAAGCGAGTGTTTTATCTGTATATTCTCCGGTGAGAATTCTTGCGATTGCTTTAGTTTTTTACTTCGTGTGACACATTTCTTTGACGAAAATAATAACAAGTTATTATTTTTTCCGCGTGTAAAGCTCGAATTCACTATCTCTGATGATCGTTTGTTTCGTCAATCGTAACATTCTCGCGAATTTTATTATTTGCACCAATTGTCGTGGAAATTAAGATTTTGACAATGTTCATTTAGAAATGTTTGCAAAGTGGAGAGGAGAGAGAATCCTTTTACTTGGAGAGTGCACCTCGCTTGTACGCTCGCGTATATGCGCGCGCGAATGCGCCGACGGCGCCTTCGTCGGGACGCCTAACAAGAAGCTCGCTTTTACTTCGGCACCTCGAGGACGCGTTCTAATTAGGATCACGCGTGTTCGCCTCTTATGCGGAGGGCGAGTCTTGTCGAGCGAGCCTCGTCCCTACCCTCCGCGAGCGCGGCAAAGAGAGCACGGGAGGGTGGAAACTCATCGTAAAGGCGCCTAACACGGCCATGCCGAACTTGGAATTTCTGCCGTATAGTTCCGCATACATTAGGGACCTTGGGTGAAACTTGGAGGGTAGTTTGCCTCTCGGCAACGAAAGCAGGCGAGGGCTGAAGTGAAGCGCAGCGTGCTGCTGAGGGACGGTCGAGGGGACTGTGGGGAGGGGGGAGGTTGGGTGTAAACCGCACAAAGTAATCTTACAGAATGTATATGCAAAGAGGTTCAACGGCTTGGCGTGGCAAGGTGAGGTGAGGAAGCGAGGGCACAGCTTGCACATGATTCTATCCGCGACAATCTCGACAAGACACCTCCGCAGGCAAACTTACTTCGTGCAGCAGCTTACTTCCGAAACCTCGTCGACTCTTGATCGAGGTTGATTATTTCCTCTAATTAGCTTCTGTTCAATATTTTTAGTCCTTTAATTTTGGTTTTGAAGTAAATTATTTGAAAATAAAATAAAGTCTCATAGTTCAAAGGTCTTACGGTTTAGTTGATGTAATTATTCAAAAAACTTATTGTTAGACAGAAGATCGCTTCCATATATTTATTAGCGAATACGTTCCGCGAAGATTTTTCTTCACAGTGGTTTAGATTTAGAAATGTTAATATAAGATCAACGAAGGTTAACTTCGAACCATCTCTTTACCGTGCAATTTCCTTGGTTATCTTTTAAATCTAAATTGTTGGTGCGCTTCTAATTGTAAGTATATCTAAATGTCAATCTGTTCAAGCGATCTTAAGCGCGCCCTGTTGTTTATTCAAGAAATATTTCTGTCATTAATCAAACTAACGGCATAGAGCACTTGACAGGTGCACCTGGCCGTGGTGGTTGAAGTGTGTTGCTTGGTTTCTGCGAGAAGAGAAAAAGAGAGAGGGAGAGAATGATAGATACGGAGGAAACCATTTATTCATTTCCAAGTGGTCGGCAGATACGCAGATAGCCACGAATAGTGATGGAAATAAAATCGTTTACATCTTGTTCCTTTAATTAGGCAAATTCACTCGGGACAGGAGTGCCAGTTGATTAGTGTCTTTGAGATAAGCTCACTCATTACCGTCGGGATTTATCGATATAGCCGATGGACGCGCAAGGTGTCGCTCTCCCCCGCATAAATTCTTTTCTTTCTCTCCGTCATCGTCATACGCTATCGCGTTCGCGCGTAGAACACGCGGGAAAATCGCGTAAGCGCCCGGTGGTCGTTCGCGAGAAGACGCGTCTCCGGGTAGCGCGTCTCTCTTGTAGCGTCGAATGTGATTATCGGCTATCGAACGTTCTACACGTAATCGAGTAAATTATGGCACGGCGTTTAATACGCATCGCGCGGCAACACCTCGTCGAAGGATAATTAAATATCGCCGGTTAAATTTAATAACCGGCCGGATAATTGCGGGTTGCGCGGATGCTAGCGCGGGATACGCGGTGTCCGACGATAACTCACCGCTCGTCTCGTTAATAACGACGTTGAGAGATCTAGCAGACGTGATCCGCGGCGACCCAATTTTCTTGGCACTACCCGGCAGATGCGTGCGTGTGGATTTACGCATAGGATTTTCGTGCCGCATAACGCGCGCACCAATATAAACAAGCTTGTCTACAGGAGTAGTTAGCACCCACTGTTTCCGTGTAACGGGCGACTAGATACACCTCTAACAGGTCCGTCGACATTTATTCCGGCCTATTACGAGTTAATCTTGAAGGCACACACACCGCGCATTATCATTTAAATTGGTGTCGTTATGCACGCGCATTAAATTTGTTCGCTCAGCGGCTACGACGCCTCGCATTGCCTCGCCTCGCTTCACTTCCGCGAGAATTCTTTGGGCCTTTATGTGGTAATATATACGTGGTAGGTAGGACAGATGCCTACGCAAAGGGTATATACGCACGGGGAAACGGCAAGCGGCTTACAATGGGTCGCTTGTTGTCTTCTCGTAATTCCTATCGTCTATCACGTTTCCATACCAACTTAGGCTTCTGGTCTTACGCTAATCTATCAACCGCCGCATCTTCTCTTGGAAAAAAAAGATCACGAGGCGGATAACAGGATATCTTTTTTCCCCTCTCGAGACGCGCGTGTATATTAAATCAGTTTCGTTGATTGCCTTCTCCGTTCTCCAGCGTTCCCGGTGAATGGCAGACTCCGCGGTATTCATCCACGGGAGTCTCGTCCCCCGTAGTGACAGTCCGGAGACTATACCGAAAACTGACTGATTGTGACTGTCATGACAGCGGCGGACGAGGCGCCGCCCTTCCGGGTCGTG